TCCCTGTTAACAAGTTAGTAAGCAGCAACCCTTCCAAAAGCAATTGTTTCAGGACAACAGGGGGATTTCAGATGCTTTGCAGAGTTTTGCTTATTTTACTGAGAGCTTTACAGACTCTCAGTTTTCATTGGTTAGATTTTTTTTGCACCTTTTAAAAATTTTCAGAGTCCCAAATGAAAGAGAAATTAGGGATTGCTACGCATCTTCCTCTGATCAGTAAGAACTGAGTTAATTCACTGTCTTCACTGTCTTTCAGACACTTAGGTGCAGCTACATAGAAAACTCAGAAGTATATCTGACCTTCTCACCCTCTGCAACTCCCTGACAGGAGGTTGGAGTCAGGTGGGGGTTGGTCTCTTCTCCCAGGCAACCAGCAGCAGGACAAGAGGGCACAGACTCAAGCTCTGCCAGGGGAGGGTTAGATTGGACATTAGGAAGAGATTTTTTTATGGAGAGAGTGCTCAGGCATTGGAATGTGCTGCCCAGGGAGGTGGTGGATTCACCATCCCTGGAGGTTTTCAAGCTGAGACTGGATGTGGCACTTAGTGCCATGGGCTAGTGACCACGGTAGGGTTGGACTGGATGATCTTGGAGGTCTTTTCCAACCCAGTTGATTCTATGATTCTATGAATTAATCTGTCATTGCTGTAACCCCTAAACCATATCCTCCAGTGCTAGATCCAGACACCTCTTAAACACTTCCAGGCATGGTGACTCCACCACCTACCTGGGCAACCTATTCCCTCTCAGTTTATGTCCATTCCCTCTAGTCATTTATTCTATTACATAGCAAACTCAGAAATATTACATAGCGAATAATGTAGGCTCTTATTTACACATTTTTATTATACAGAGTGCACGATCAAAATAGCTGTTGATTTTAAATGATAAACTTTTATTCTGAATATACTGTTTTTGCACAAGAATTAACACAACAGTTCTAGGATTATAAACTTTTTATAACATTATTGTACAAATTTTTACAAAAAAATTATTTTTTTTTCCAGGCTTGTCAAGTTCCACAAAAGTGTCAAGAGAACACAAGAAAAGGGAGAAAGACCTGCTTGACTTTTAAGAGCAACCAAGTCTTTTTTTTGCAGAAACGCACACTGAGCATTTCAATAAAAATATCCCAGAAAGCATGATCCAGACATTCCATACAACACAAGAAGAGAAGACAGCTTTGTCAGATCACAATCGCTAGTTCATGGCATCTGAACAAGACAGTATCCCTTTAGCCTCAGTGAAATTATTTCTTCAAGATGATGTTTGTCTTTTAAACCATAAATAGGACAGATGCAAGTAGCTGGGAAAAGGGTGAGGCTAACTTTTCAAAATTCTTGAATTGTTTGCAGACACTTTGTTTTAATCTTTTTACAATAGTGTACAATATGAGTATTAACAATATTAACATTGTGGTATGAACAAAATAATCATAAATCTGGCCTTTGTTAAAGGCTTGGATGTCTGATGAAGCTAGGGTAAAATTTATCCTAAGGAAGGAGTTTTTAAGATTTCACCTTCAGCTGACATTCCAAAAACACCCATTGCAATGCCTTGTAGGCATTAATATCTTTCTTAATAACCAGTGTGCTAATATCTGAATTTTCAGGGACACTGGGACTGAGGTTGTGTTTTGGAATTAAGTCATCCTAAGCATGTTTTCTGAGCTTATGTGTTAATGGGAACAAAAGGTCTTAATGTCTCTTCGGTGACACCAAAAAACTCTCAACCACAGCAAGTAACACTTGGGTTGCAAAGGTCACTTAAAAGGGATACTGCCTATTTGAAATCAGTAAGGCCAGTTTTTAAGTTAGTAAAAGGAACATTGTAGGAAAACTTACAAATGGCAGCAACACTGTTTCTTTTTGTCAAGTTAAGCAGTAAAGCCTCAAGCATTAGAAACATGAAAAAAGATCATACTAAAGTCTTTAAAGGTACAGGACCTAAAAATCTTGTCAATCAAACCTGCTATGTCATGTTAAAAACCTGTTACAAATATGGACCACGGTCAGTGTATTGGCAGTAATGCTGGTTGTTTAACTGAAAAACTAGAAAGAAATGTTTCATGTGAAGTCCTCAAATCATGGTGGGTTTTTTTTGCACAGTACCATGCTGCAACAACTTTAATGGTGGTTATTTGTCAGACATACAATACTCTGCGTGACTTCTGTGTAAACTGAACCAGTCCCAACAGTTCCCTTAGTGCTACTTAAAGGATTTGAGCAAACATCAACAGAAGCTTTTTTATCTGGCCTTAAAAAACTCAACTTTTCCCAACAGATTGTACTTTGAAAATACCTCAATTTAAAGCCAAGGATAAGATTCTTCTCCCAAAGAGAAGATGACTGCCATGCATTAGGTGAGAGTAAAGATACTCTTCTGCATGAGGATTCGTATTTATTCATGCCAGTTATTCCAATCAGACATTTTGAGAGAGCTGAAGTAGTTCACATTGCATTTTCTATATGTGTTTTCAATTGCAGGTATCAGGGCACTGTATTTCAGAAAAAAAATCTTAGCCATCACTTGGTTATATTATCATATATAATTTTAAACTCTTTAAAATACTCATTACTTTTCAAAGTATTGAGATCCCTGGGAGGGCCAGATCCTGAGCTTTCAACCCGACAGGTGTAATGACTGGAAGGTTCAATGTTTTTACAGAAACAGAGGAGAGGAACAAAGGACATTTTCCTCTTTGGATCACCCAAGAGGGCTCTGTGTCTGCGTGGCATTGGCTTCTCCCTCCTTTTCATTTGAGCACTCTAAGGGAAGTGGGATGAGAGCAAGAGCCACAGATGTTTTCCATGGCAGCACAACTTTGTGCCATCTTTCTTTCTGCCTACCAACTCTAATCAAATGTTTATTAAGTAATTCCAAAGATGTCCTACCAGCATAAGCAGAGTGTCTTAAAATGGTAAATAATGCAACTTGTCCATGAAGAGTTTCTTTTGGGCTACTAAGTGGAAACGCTAGAGAACTTATTACACTGACAATCCTTCAAGAATAATAAAAGAGCAAAATGCAAACTAATGTGTATTCGAAGTAACCTTAGAGTAAAAGCTGTGAGTGCAGTTAGTATTGGCCTAATCCTACAAAACTTGTTCCTCCCATAAAGTGTCAATTGGCCACGTTAAGGAAAAATACAGGATGCAGTCTTGGCATTAGAAAGACTCAAACCAGTTTTTCTATTAGGTGGTAACTGGTGATAGGGTGAAGAGAAGTGCAGCAATATGACTGGAAGAAGAGCTCCAAGTTTATCTTCACCTACATTACCAACATTAGCTCACCTTCTCTGAGGAGGACCTGAAGTCATCCCACACCATTAATTGTACTTTGAACCCCATGACATTACTAGAGATAATTTTTCTTAATAAAAACTAAATCTGATCACTAAACAGAAGGTCAGGATTTAATTATTTTTTTGCTCACTGTATTCCCAAACGTGAGAAAATACATAGCTGGAGCCAAGGTACATGAGAAACAATGAACCAGCCATGAGTACAACTACAGTAGACATCTGATCATTTAAGCCATGCCATGGCTTTGAGTAGCTTCTTCAGTTTTCATAGGATATTAATGCATGCCCAATCATTTTCTTAAGCTTTTGGCATGATCAAAATGATATCAATCCATTGCCAGCATATACATACTAACGCGTTTGCATTTTCTTATTTTTTTTTGTTTTGTTTTAAAGAGCTAGTGTATTCTGCCATGTTAATATTTGCATATTGCAGTTGTTAGCAGAACTGTACAATACCAGCAGAGGTGCACATTCATTGGTTTAGCTGTCTTGCAATACTGTTTAGTTCTGAAAACTAGGAAAAAAGGAAAAAAAAGCGCAAATCATATTTCGCATCTACACTATGCTACACTGTAATATGGCCAGGTACTGCACCAATCTGTCTCACCAATGAGGTTGTATAAAAACAACTTCGAGAATTATTATTCACAATCAAGTATCAATGTGCATACATATAGATTCAAGGCTCCCCATTTGCTTATAGTTTTTTCTAATCGCAGCAACCAGGACGTTTTGCTGTTAAATGATGCTATTTTCAATAAGAAATAGCAACAGCAGAAGTTTTAACCTTAGGGGTGTTTTTTTATGAAGGAAACAAAGGGGGAACCTGATATGAACCTTAGAGAACATATACTTCCAAAAATAAATGTGTTCAATCTGATTTTTATATACTTAAAATATCTGTACACAGATTTTCATGTGAGATCACTATTCTGTAAAAAATCCAACTCAACCCTTTTGTTAAGATAGCTATATTTACCCTATTTTCTCAGCTTTTCCATTGCACAGTATATTCAGAGCTCTGTTTCATAATATAATTTAATATGATTTGATTGCAACACATTGCAATGTTCAGTTTCTCACACAATAAAAGAATCACTCAGTTACCTTTCAATGAACTATACTCTACCATCAAAGAAAACAAACTGATAAACTATAACAGCATCATCATCATGCAAAATACCCTTGGAAACCAACGTTCAAATATCACAAAGACATTTTTTATTCACAAGCATTTTTGTTTCAGCCTTTGAAGGATTCTGCTAGCTTTATATGTAACTGCGTTGTGAAAAGGAGGTGAATATTACATCAAAATTAACATTTCTCCTGACAGAAGATTACACCAAGTTTAAGATGAAAATCACTTTTTTAGTTAAACTCTCGAGCACCTTTGTATTTTGAAACAGTAGTTTCCTTCCTTTCTTCCTTCCTTCCTTCCTTCTTTCCTTCCTTACTTCCTTCCCTTCCTTCCTTATATTAACCTACCAAAGCTTAGCTGGCTGCATGATTCATTTTGGAAGAATAAACCACTCATCATACACAAAGCATTTCAATCATGCTGAACTACTGATGACAATTAACCAATATCTTCATTTTACTCAACCAGTTTGGACAAACCTGATGTTCAAAGCAGCCATTGTGGTGCTAGTAATGTATATTGGGGAGAACATTTTCTTTTCGTTTTCTTTTTGTTGTTTGAAAGTAACTGTCCATGTAAAAGAATAGAAATCTTCAAGATATCCAAAGCTTCAAAGAAATGAAAATCATATACATAAGCTATTGTTAGGGGAGCCCTTTTACATGAAGTCATCAAGATTACAGCAACAAACAAATGAAAGAAAAAAAACCCAAAACAAACAACTTAAGATTCCCCAATGGAGCACGTACAGAATTCTGTTCAGATGGCATAGATGATGCAGCATTCACACACGTTTAAGGATCCGACACTCCAACATGCAGCCACCGTGGGTGTCCTCATGAGTCTCACGACGAGTGATGACCAGACATGAGCACTGCTCTTCTGCTGCTGTCTGAATAGCTGACCCTTTTGGAAATGAAACTGAGGCTATCGTTTTGGCCGGATCTCGATTAAGTTATGCAGGTTTTGGTTTAGCAAGGTCATAACTGGCAGTATCTGCTGCCAGATAACAGCCAAAGCAGGACCAACTGAATTCCTAGCACAGACCACAGTGATGGACTCAGACCAGAGGCACCACCGCAGTCGGCCGAATCTTCCTGTCGACAAGAAAAGAAGACATCTTTTAACATTTCATTACAATGAAGTTTCCGAAGAAGTAACCTACAGTTTAGTTTTCAACGGTTTGAACTACCCTTGAGGAATCCTTTCTGATGCTATATATGTCATTTTTTTCTAAAATAACAGCAAAGAATTCCTGGAAGTTTGTCTGATACAAAGAGTGGCATTACCATTTTAACTATAATCATGGGAACGTTAAGTACTTCCAAGGTTTACTGCAGTTATTTATGAACTAGATGGGATACTTACACCATCAATCAAGAAATGCTATGGGATATACCTGGGGGCCCCAGTAAACCCCATCTATATTCCTTAAAATTACATCAGTTTTAACATTCTGAGTACCACAATATCAGGAGGAAAGATAGAAGAACAGATTTCAAGATTAGAAAACAAATACCAAAACATGTTCATGGCCATTTCATCAAATGATTGCACATTAAAATGAATATGGTCTGCAGGTGAAGATAATGATCAAAGAGAATGAAACTCCTTTTTCTGTCTCTGACGTGCTAGTCAAGTATGAATTTTCTGTTGTGCTTTTTGTAGGTTTGATGCAGTAGAGAAGACACCCTCCAGTTTGAGGGCTTGTTCTGAGCTGCACCACTCTGTCATGCATCAGTGGACCTAACTGTTCCTTAGGCCACACAACAATCACACTTTTTTTTTCATCATTATTCTTTACCACTGATTGCTGTTCTTTAGTCCCACTTTGCCTACAATGCCTTTCATGTTATGGACTTACTCATTAATCAGGCTGAAATGCATTTGATACCTGTTCTGGAGCCTCTAACATCTTACACCTTGTTTCTTAGGACTGATACAAACTGTGGTTAGTGTCTAAAACACCAGGAAAAAGTTCCAGCTATTCCCACACTGCTTTGTCCACCGAATCTGAGATTCATGGGTAGCTCTGAAGGGTGAAAAGATTTGGTCTTTCTCTTGTTGTCACTGCATTCTGCACCCATAGTATAAAAAATCTCTTTCCATTTTCCAAAAGATCCTAAGTCTCCAAGGATAAGACAACAGTGTGGGTGGGAAGGGACTGAGGTATATTAGCAGCTGGAGAAACTTCTTGAACAGGAGAAACATGTGCAGGGAAGGACAGACAACTGCACCTGAACAGTAACAGAGCCCAGTGCTGGCACAGAAAACAAAAAGATTTTAGAACAGAAAGCAGAGAAAAGGCAACAGAGAACAGCTTCTGGCTCAGACTGATAGGCCACTGAAGCATATAGAAATAATATTCCTTCTGCTTCACAAAAAGGCTGGGGGCTGGAGGGTGTGTGTGGATAAATACTACAATCAGGGTAAATAAGGAAGGGTCATTAGCCACTTTAATTTATTGGCACATCCTTAAGCAAAACATTCCAGTGCTTCTGCACCACTGCTAGGAACATAAAATCCAGAGGAAGGAATGAAGACCAGTCATCAATGAATCATCCCTAAAACCCACACATATCAGAAATCTGGTGGAAGGAGAATAACCAGTAGGACAAGTGATGTCAGGCTACCAACTGGGTAAGAATGGCAGCATAGAACATACAGCAGAAAGGTACCACATAAAGGATAATATGAAGTGCAGTAGCATAAAAGTATTACAGGAAAATGGAAGTGTGATGGAATCTCTGTGGGTAAGAAATTTCAGAGTCTGATCACAAAAAAATGTAATGCTGGCACTGCTGACCACCAGCTCAAAGGGACAATACCAATGTTATGTGAGATTAGAGAAGCCACATCAAGACTAGATCAAGCCTTATCAAAGAGAGATGTAGAGATTACTTTTTTTTATATGATATATGACTTTTGGAACAGTCTTTGAATCTTTAGTGGTACACAAGGCCCAGATCAAAATTATTTGTAGAGTTGATCTGTATATCTCTAGTAGCTCTGTAGACCACAATGTAATAGGATTTATCATTGTTATTTGAGAGATCAGGCCAAACAAACCCAAAGCAAAAGATATCAACTTAAAGAAAGGGAACTACCTGAAAATTACCAAATGCAGTTAAAAAAAACCAACCCAAACAATCTCAAAACCAGGAAAACAGAAGAAAACCCTTAACAAACAAAAACAGAAACCAGGAAAAAAAGCTCCCTAGAAGCAGCATCTCAAAAACTCCCTCACAAGGATTCAGAAGAATACTTCTATGTGTTGCATTAGATATCTAGGGAAAATTAATGCCACAATTAGAACAAGCAACCATACACCACCCAAACCCAAAAACCCAACCCCAAAACAAATGAAACCACAGCACCACCAACCTTCACCAAAAAAACCCACCCCATAACCAAACACAGAACCCAAAAGAAACATCCCTGCATGAATCAGTAGGGAAAATAAGTGCACTGACATAGAGAAAGGGTCAGCATTAAGAAATTGAGTTTACTTAAATGGGCAAAAATGGGAAAGCACATAAAAATGGCAGATTAGATATAAACAGGAAATTAGGAAGGATGATAAAGAAGTTTTTATGACTTCTCTGCAGAATATGTTGAAAATGATAGCAGAAATTTTTTAATAAATCAAAAGCATGAAGCCAAATATGATGTTAGGGCAACTGCTTCATAATAGAGGTGTAAAGGGGAACTTGGGGATTACAGAGCATAGCAAAGGACTTTTATGAGTTCCTTGAGTCAGTTTTAATGGGTGAAAGCTTTAAGGATATTCTCTCCACACTGTATTCTTTAAAGCAGGGAGGTGAAAGGAATCAGAATCAGTGCAGAAAAAACTGTATGGGAAAGCAGATAAACCAGAAAAATTAGACTCAATACATTATCGACAATTCTAGCATTGACCAAGTCTCCTTTGGAAACTTGGATATATAAAAACACCCCAAAAAACCCCAAATTAAAAAAAAATAAATCAACATTCAAGTTCCTTAGAAAGCAACAAAAAAATCATTCTGTCCTAAAGATCTCCCATTACCCATCATTCTTTATCAGCAGTCACCATTTCCAGCCATGTCTCTGTCATGTGTTAACTTTATAACTTAGTAATATAGTTTTGGCTTAGGCTTTCTTCTTTTTTCTTTTTTCTTTTTTTTTTTTCCCTGGTTGATTGCACTCTACAAGTTCAAAATTCCTAAGGTTTCTGGTCAACAAGGCACTTCTAAGTGAACTCTGCTGCACCAGATTTGGAGTAGGATGCTAAGATTTGAAGATGCCCTGAACTTTCTGGTTTATTTAGTTTGGCTCTGTCACTATTTGCATCTGCATTGTGTCTTGTCGTGCAGCTTTATTTCTATTCAAAGCACCTAAAAATAACCCTGTTGCTTTTCCCTCACAGTGAGTACCATTAAAACAAGAGTTATCAGTAAAGGTTTTCTCTCACATGAATTCAATGAACAGCACTCCATGTTACCTCTTGGTATTTAAGACTTCTTATCACTGAAATTACTTATGAGAGGCATCTTTGAAGAGACAGTCCAAAGTAAATCAGGAGATTTAAAGGGAGATGTTTGGAGAGTAAATAAAAAGTAAATTGAAGGTCTTAAACAAAACTGTGCAGGGGAAAACATCTTTACAGTGAAAATGGCACCAAGTATGGGTACAGAGCAGATAGGCTCCAGATAAAGAATTCTACACTGCTAAGCTTACATGTCACCTCTGCATTAGACCAAATATTGGGTAAATCATGCTGGTGAATTAATACTACCACTATATATGCTGGAACAGGTCCTCTCAATTCTGTAGCCCATTTCTGTTTGCTCTTTGAGATGGTTTTAACTCCATCACAATTTATGGGCATTGCTCTTCCAGCCAACCATCATACTATGCAATATTCCCATCGGATTGGAAAGAAATATTTTAATATCTTTTGTTTTCTCTCTAAGACTCCACAGAGCAGGTTCTAAAGGCTTCACAGTTCATGACAGTAGAGAATGTCTTGGAAGCCTCATGCAGGAGAAGCATCTTCTTAGTATGAGTGACAGTGTTAAACTGTCCTACACAAAAGTAAACCAGGTTTGTACACATATTTCAAGGCTGGTGAGATTTTAACTTCACATTGATCAAAGCCACATGGAATTTCTGAGGTTTGTAGACCAATTTGCAGTGGTAAACCAGCAGTTCTGCCAAGAAAAATTTCCAAATATTGTCTCTGGAATCAGTTATTCTTTAGTGTCCTAAGCCAAGACAAAAATAGTAGTGGCAAAGAAGGTACAGTAAATCCTATCTAAATTACTTTTTCCTCCCTAGCATTGCACATTGTAATTTTCTTGTGTGCTTTAACTGTTGTCAAATGTACAGGAAATGTATAAAAATACAAAATAAAGAAAGAGGAGAATGTCTGATTATAAACTGATTTCCAGTTTTGTGGAAATAAATGGCATTCCATCATTAATTTAAAACCAGGTCAAGAAAAATGTCAGTTTTGAATGGTCTTCAAAATATCTTTTTTGAAACCACTTAACCTATTCTTGAGGTTTAAGAAAACTTCTCAGCTCTTTCCTGATCATGTTATTTTAGAGATTTCTTCTAAAGTATCTTATAACAAGTTATCTTTACAGTATCTTATCTTTACTTCTGGCAAGTCCAATTAGACACTGAACTTTTTTTAAAGCATCTCTGCTGAAATTTTCCAGCCCATTACATTAGTCACACAGAAATCCTGAATAACAGGTCAGTTGAGGATGTCCTTTATTTGCTGTCTTCAAAATAATATTCTGCATATTATTTCTCTCTGAAGAGTAAAATGAATTGTAAAGACACTGAAAGAATTATCTTTAGCCACTTTCATCAGAAGTGCATGAGAAGTTTCTTGCATTAATAAATCACATGTCAAATTTCCTTTCATGCTTGAGTTAGAGAAGTGTCAAATCCAAATGTCATCTCCTTTATGTCATGCCTTACTATGATAACTCTAGTGAGGGTTCCTTGACAACAACTCACGCTGTGAAAATTATTCAGCACTTTCAGAATGGAAAGAAATGCTTTTCTGAAAACATATATTCATTGTTAAGTATCAAACCCACGTAATCGTTGCTGGATATCAGCATTTCCTCAAAGGCAGTGCCAGTCCAAAGATTCAAAAACACACATGGAGCTATAAATACATTTATATACAGACATGTTAAGCTTATAAACTACTTGTTACTCCTTTAGAAGTGCACTAGAACTATTCAGTGTACTAAAATTTTGTCTTGAATCCACAGTAATCCATCCAAACTCATTGTGCTACACTGACTCATAAAAGGGTGAGATTACAATATCTGCCAAAGAGCTTCTGGTCTGGCCTTTGATATCTACTGGTTATCACAAAGTTACACCTTTTATAAGCAACTATTTTAAATGCTTCATTTTGCATGGAGGAGACACATTTGCTTTCACTCAAGAGTAATTTCCAGTTCCAATGCATAATCATTCATAAATTTTGTGTCATCCTCCTGTGCCTGGACTGCAGTCCAAGCTGGACAGCAATCCATGCATAGATCAGGGACACAGCCAATCCCATCAAGATGTATCCAGTTGTAGGGTCTGTTAATCACCCTCAAAGCTCCCACTGACATCCCTGGGAACTGATGGAAATAAGCCCTCAGAGGGGGCTAAAAGATTGCAGAGTTCTTCTCCTTGTCCTCAGGCATGGCAAACAAGCCTAATGTGCACACACAAAGTAAGAACAAGCCACTCAAGGCAGTGATAATAACTATTTTGTTATCCTTGATGAAAAGGGGAAAAAAAAAAAAGAAACCATCAGGTTATCGAACCTGATCAGCTGGTTTGTATCTGTGTTGGCTTCAGTGATTTTAATAAAACTGCACAGATTAATGCCCAGTGAGAACCCGTTTCCAAAATCACAAAGTTATTAAAACCAAGAAGGATGAACAAAATTACCTTTATAACTTTCTGCTGCCAAAAGTCTATCAGCTAAAATGATATTCTGGGGGTTTCCCATCTGAAGCAGAAAGCTGATTTTGGGCATGAAGAATTCAGCTCAAGGTGAGTCTCTGCTGCTTTATGCACATTGGACAGTAGCTTTTTTAATTAAAAGAAGGTTACTTGCAGAGCAAATTGCATGAGTAAGAATGTGAGATGTTAATCTAGATTTTAATGTGAAATACCACTGGCTTGGGGGAAGGGATTTTCACCCTTCCTTACAACCTTCTGCCATGGCTGTGCAAGTTTCTGGGTTTACTAGAAATTCCATGATTGAAATGCAGAATAGGAAACTTCAGATTTACCCAAATGCAGCTGTTAAACTGAACTTTAAGATTATTTTTTCACTGATGATTGAATGATACGAACGGAACCTTCTCTTCATTATAAAGAGACTATAAATTATTGAGAAAATGAGTGGTCTAAATGGCTACAATGTTCAATATTTTACTCCCATACCTCTGACAAATGTCCTCTAAGCTTTCGGTTCTGCCTCTCAGTTGGCCTCGATAGACTTGTGAGTATCTCCCTCTAGTGGTATTCTGCACAATAATCTTGAGCAGAAACCCCTCCAGTGTACAAGGTCATGAATTTTAGGCTCTCTAGCTCAGCAGTTCTCTTGCAGACATGTCACCAGCACAGCAGCTGGTGACACAGTCCCACAACACTAAATGCAACACAGTTTAGTTGCCAAGACTTTCATTACGAACCCCAAAGTCAGTACTTGGTCAACATACAGGACATACTTATGGAGTGACTTCGAAGAAAAACCTCATCTTCTGCTGTAATTAGGCAATGAATATATTTAGGCTGCCAAAAATTAAGAGAAAAATACGATTTTACTGATTTTCTTGTTTAATCAAAGTGCTGTGCACTATTACCTTCCATCATTAACTGATGTGCTAATCTGAATGCAGCGAAAACTCCTCACTCTTCTCAACAGCAACACTCACACAGAGCACTCATCCTGCCTATCCATAAGTACAGCTATTTTTTCATCACAGGTATTGCAGTCTCTTCTGTTCGTTTTTTTTTCTCTGTTTGTCTCTGTGCAGAAATTTTTCTTCTTCTGTTCATTTCAACAGGGACAAGGAAAAAATGCTTAGAAGGGAATGACACAGACTCAGCTGGTACATGTGCAATCTCAAAGAACCAACCATATAAACCCAACAGGTTCCCTTGTCTTTGTATGTGCTGTGGGAGAGGCCCTTGTGTTCAGTAATTGTGATTTATAAGGCTCCAGACAGGGTTTTTAGAATTTTTTTCACATTTAATTTCCCTTAATATTGCGCTAGTAATTTGCTCCAGATTGTCGCTTTTGGGCCTCACTTCATTCTGTTTTCTTTTGTATGCTCAGTAAGTAAAAAAAGTCAGCTAATTTTTTTTTTTTTTTAAGCCAAGAACAGAACAAAAAATTAGAGAAAGTAACTGACCATCCACACCACATGAAAACTTGCAGAAAAATGAAGATAGGAGCGGACGTCATGGCAGAGGCACGACTCGTTGTGCATATAGGCTGATCCTATTAATAACGGGCAAAGTAGCAAGTAGAGGGAAAGGAAAGAAAACACAGAAAAAAAGACATACAAGATGAGATATCATGCAGATTGCTGGCAGTTAGCAGAGTTCATGTGAAAGCATCCACCCAAGAGCAAGAGATTCACGGCAAATTTTGCAAAGGAACTTAACCAAAACAATCCACTCTTACAAAACACATGACTTACACACTGATCAGCACATCAAGCTAGTGAGCAAGAGTTGTACTTTCACACACAATCAGAGCAGGAGGGTTTGGAATATTTATAATGGCCAAAGAGCTTTTGGATGGTTTTTCAACTTTATTTAAGTTTTGCTGGCCAGTGAGATTTCCTTTTTAAATTACGTTTAGCTACTTGAAAAATGCATTGAATACCAACTGTATTCTTTGCTGACCAGTGAGATTTCCTTTTTTTAAATTACATTTAGCTACTAGAAAAATGCATTGAATACCAACTGTATTCAGTATTTTTGAACACTACTGACATCACTAATTGTGGCTCCTTTAGGAAAATCATAGAACATACTGGAACAAAACTTGGTGTGCAGGAGTTATAACCAACTACTGCACTGGTTTGAGACAATCTCCCCTTTGCATAAATCATATGATACATTAAACATCCATTGTAGAAATATTTCTTGCATCTGATGCAAGGCACTTCCATATTCAGCAATTTTCATATTGAAATTTATTTTGAACAATTTCAATTCCACATCAAGTCTTTCCTACAGTATTTTGAAAGGGAAGACAGAAAGAATATCCAAAAGAATTCAGATATGTGGCCAGAGTTATAATTTTTCTTCTTCAGAACTGTACTGCAATACAGAAAGTTCTTTAATGCACCTGTTAAGTCCAAATTTGCAGAATTAGGGGCAACATCCTAAATATATAACATCTTTAATCATTTAACAATACCTTAAATAATATTTGGAAATCCTCATACAAAAATACTACTTCTAAGCCAGGATTATCATCTACTTGGGGAAGCCACTGAAGAGCTGAATTCATGGCACAATACAGAGATTTATGTTGATTGATATTTATTTTTTTGAGTGGGAATCATGTGTGAAAGTACAATGCTTATAGGAAAGGCAGATAAGAAAGCAGCTGTTAATCTTAATGTTAATCATGGGATATTTGAAATAGAGTGGCTATGGTCTAGAGTGAACAGTATGTTTAGTGATAAATAGCTTACCAGGCACCAAGGTACATTTAAATACAGTTTTCACTGCTCTTCTAAAACAGCTCTACTATTGTTTTTAAAGATACTCCTAAAGTCTTACAAGTTCAATTTTACCTGTTTGGCTTCATCAAAACAGACATCAGGACCCTTTCTGTATCTAGGTTGTTTGACCATTTCACAAGGATTTGGTCCTTCATCTGTTTCTCTGGTTAAGGAAGAAGCATGACTGTTCTTTGTGCATCATACATTAGCAGGATTAACATTCTGGTCTTATTTTCGTGGCAGAAAAGAAGATTTATGCTAATTCAGATAGTACTGAAACAAACATCAATAGTCACAGTTCCTTGTTTCAAGAAAACCAACCCAACCCTCCAAATAAATCAAAATTAAATCACCCTTTCTTTTTTACACTCGAGAAAACAAACATCCTGCATGACTTTTTAGAACCAGTGTTTTCAGAACCATACACAGAATACAAATAAAAGCTGAGTTCTTTTAACATTTTCTGCATTGCTTTTATTACCATTGCATAAATATTGCAGAAAATATTTCATAAAGCAGTAAATTTTCAGAGGTGCTGATTGGTTACAGCTTCTGTTACCACTGAGTTATTCTCCTAACATGAAGATACACAGTAAAAGCAAGAAAACCTGCTTGGAAAAGTAATGCTATATACAAGTTGAACATTGCAGTGAAAACCTATAGAAACTACTGGTTCTATTATGTGTACACTTATATTACCCCAAATAGCATAGAAAAGATCATCCCACTGTAAGCTTTGATAGCAAATGACAGAAAAACTGATCCAATCTCATCAGCATTGCAGTGATGAAAGAGGACAGAGAAAATGCTGTACATACCAACAGCAGAAGAGCAGGAGAGAAGTGGGAGCAGTGACATGCTATTAATTAGCTTTAGCTTACATCTCTGGAATCTGGAATTGCTGATATTTAAGTGTAAATTCTGTACTTCACATGTGCCACTGGCTAACAAGGGGCACAAGTCATTGCAGCAGACTTGAAAGGCACAAATATGGTAAACTGCAAAACTGTTTTCTGGTGAAACCTGCTGAGATTACCACTCAGTATGGGAAGATTTTCTTATGCCACTGTAAGTAGTACACATATTAAAGCCAAGCTAGGGTGTTTTGAAAGAACTGAGTGCCAAAATTTTGCTTAGCTTAGTAGCTTTAACCTATATTTGAAGCAATTCTATTCATGCACTACCAGGGAGTATTACAACAGGTTCAGTGCAAGAAGTGGAGAGGACCAAGGGGAGAGAAGACAAGAAGATGGGAGAACTTAGCTGTATAGGTACACATCTGCCTCCATTCAGATGTCATCAGACTCACCTCCCCTTTTTCCTGCCATGGCCCAGCTGAAAGGGAAGTTGAAATGCAGAAATCTCCTAAAGGATGATGTGCACAAGCAAAGCAATACCAGCCAGAAGGAAGCAAAGCCTAATCATAACCCTCTGAATAGCACCCAAAGGTCATTCTGTCTGCTTGGGTGATGCTATGCTACATCTGCATTTCACAATGTCCCTTAGTTACAAAAAAGAGGGAATAGCTTAGTACTACATAGTTGAAACAAAAAGAGTTCATTTAGTCAATATAAGCCCACCCAGCTGCTCTGGCTGCCATTTGAGGTCATTTACTGCTTTCTAGAAATTTTAGGCCCCATAGGGAAATGCAAGTCATGAGCATTTTATATATTTTCTACATTCCCCACCAAACATGCTTCATTCTCTATAGCAAGTGCTGTCTGTAAGTTCAGACAGCAGCAACAGTAAATCAAACTGTCATGGGCTGAAGCCAATTAGAACTTGGGCTGTGTTTACATAGTTCTGTGATGACACCCCAATGCAACTTCCTTTCCAGCCCAAGCATAGATGGCATTCCAGTTTTATTAATGTGGCAATGAATGCATTGCCTGTGCCAAAGAAACACAGGCATCTCTCCTACTGTCTGCTTTGCTTTCAGAAATAGGAGAGGCTGTCTCAACTGACCTTCTGACATGGGCAAAGGTATTACTGATTGTTTTCCATATTCTGTTGTAATAATCCAAATTATGACTTGATTTACACCTCTGGCATGCTATCCTCAAGTCTGTGTAGCAGACAAAGGTATTACTCAGGGGAATTTCTCCTGGCCTGGAATATGTGTGTGCTGGTTTTGTGTATTTCCATCACCATCACCTACAGGTATCCACTGCAGTGAACAGATTAAAGCAGCGAGATTGGCATGAAGGTGGTTGCAAATTATCTTCCACATCCTTTTAATATGTTGTAAGGGCTCTGCTTGGCATGTAGGCCACCTATGTCTCCAGCCAGCTCTGAAGAAATTCTAAACTGGATAAATTCTAGCCTTGGGTGGCTAAAGCAGCTTCCACAAGAAGTAAGGAGTCATCATTGGCACTGGGCACACATTAAATGGTGCACACACTAAATGGTGCACACACTAAATGATGCACACACTAAAGTACCTCCATCAATAAACCATCAGTGAAGCATCTCAACTTTTCATGACCAAACACTCCTATCTTGGCATTGCCCTGTTTTGTCTTTTCTCTAGGCAGACATACCTCTGTCTTTTCTAAAAGCTGAACAAACCCAGGACTCTCAGGCTGCCCTTGTCTGTCCTGTGCTCTAGGTTCCACTCTCCTTGGTGGCCCTTCACTAGGTTTCCTCCAGCATGTCAGTGTGGCACTGGGAAGCTCCAAACTGTACACAGCACTTCAGATATAGTCTCACCACTGCTGAAGAGGTGGGATGGATCAGTTCTCCCAATCTGCAGATTATATCTGTCTACTACACTACTGCTATCTACAGGATGTGACCAATCCTCATTACTGCAAGGCACAGTGCCTAGTAATGCTCAACTTCTTGTCCATCATGAACCTCAAACTCTTTCCTGTAAAGATCTAAGTTGCTCTGTCCCCAGCCTGTCCAGCTGTGTACACTGTCCTGGGCCCAAGACTTTACATTTGCCTTTCTGAAACTTTACTAAGTTCCTGTGAACCCATTTCTAAGTTCTCACAAGTAACAGCTTTGCTCTCTACCTCAACGACTGCTGCCTCAAATTTGTGATCTCATCCAGTAATATTTACTGCTTCAAGTACTCCAGTGGCAACCATGGCACTAATATGTACACAAATAGATCATTTTCCTCCCAAGTATATTCCAGCATACCACAGCCAAAAATCAATCTACACAACGAAATAACCTGATTTTAAAGGATACCAGGTTTCTCTGCTTGCATCAGTGGCTTTGGGTCGCAGGAGCGGCACAGCAGTTGGCTGTCACTAATAATGAATACTAGATTGGTGTTTGAAATCTTCTCTGCATGATAAAGCCTGGAAAAAACCACCAACAAAACCCTATGGTTAAATGAAGTAAGGAAATCCATATTTAAGAAGGATGCACAGTATTGGAATAAAAATAGTCCATCTTCATAGATTCACTCTGACTGCTACTGTTGATCTTTTTCATTAATGAGCAGAGACAAACATTTATAACCAATTTTGTAATCTTTTCAACATTTCCACGGTGCCCTTTTCAAGTTGACTTGCTAGGGGAAAAAAATTGAAAAGAGCATAAAATAAATTTAATTGAGTTAATAGTCAGCTCTGTACTGCTACCACAGTAGCTCTACTGAGAAATAACATCAGTTCAACATCAATTAACACTTGAGTAAACCCCCAACCACAAAAACAAAGCCCAACACATAAACCTGTCTGCTGAGTAAACCCCCAACCACAAAACCAAACAAAGCCCAACACATAAACCTGTCTGTGAGAAGAGTGAGAGGAAAGGTTTGTACATATGCTGTGTATTGGATGTGAATTTGCTGCTTTTTTAGGTCCACATAATTCCACAAAAAATCTTTAAGTTAGCAGGGTCGTTTTCAGTTTATATAGAATTGAATAGGCAGCATTATTCCCTTAAATTAAAGAAACTACTCTTCACATCTTAGCTACTCATGGTAAAGAGATTTCTGTATTTTTCAAGAATAATTTTCCTGTACAGTTTGAATTTATTGGAAAGGCAAACAAGTTTTCATAAAAAGCAGTGAAAAAACCCTTAATATTTCTTAGTCATGAATAAAATATATTCTACCTGTCAAATAGGAAAGTTCAGGCCAATCTAACAGTTTAATTGCCCTTAGTGGAATCCAAATATATTTTTATAGCATGTAAAACACCAAGTAAATCTGTTCATATCGATGGTTGACACTCTGTATCAAGCAGAGTTTTATTACCTAGGTGGGAATTAATTTGATTATTTCTGAAATCTCAGAGATGATGTGTTTGTACCACTAACAGTGGACAATAAGAGGACAAAATACCTGTTAATCAAATAATAGATATTATGTTTACACATCCAGTTGTTTTTACCAGCTTAAACTGTCCATTTATACTATTTCCAGTATTTTCATTTTTACCAGCTTAAATTGTCCATTTATACTATTTCCAGTATTTTTTTGCAACATGAGCATTATGATTTCTGTAGTCACTTAGCAAACTGAAGAACTCTTCTAAAAAACTCTCTGGATTTGAAAATAAATATCACAATCAAAGCCAAAATAACAAAAAAAAATCCTCCTACAAATGCCCTCAAAAACCAGCTTCCAAAATCAAAGCCAAAATAACAAAAAAATCTTCCTACAAATGCCCTCAAAAACCAGCTTTGCACAACCAAGCACTACACCAACACATAATAGTAACATGCAGGAGGAAGTATGGAAATGGGGAAAAACATGTTTTGAATACATTCACCATTCTCCAGTGTCCTCTGTCTTTCATTTCTGGCTTGAAATATTGTCTTCAAAGGGTTTGAAATGTGGCTGTTGACTTTAATTTCTAAGACATTTTCAGAAGCTCAAAATCTATGCAAAAACCCAACAGGCTTTTGTATGAAACACAGAGCTATGTCCAAGTTATTATGTTTCTGAACTATCTAAGTTTTTGGTAGAATATTAAACATCATCTTAAATAGGCACATGGAGTCTGAAGAGTAATTCTTTCAATCACAAAATAAACCAGCTTCATTTGCTTTATGAGACTCACAGCTCTTAAATCGTGAGCATTATGGACTAGAAGGTAAATTAGAAGATAAATTGCATAATCTTCTCAACAATTAAAAATTCCAATACATAACTAAAGAAAATCACATCCTTCAGAACACTGCAGAACACTTTGAAGTTAAAGGCTAATGGTTGGACTTGATGATCTTAGATTTCCCCTCTAACCTTGATAATTCTGTGATTCTATTCTATGATTTCAAGTTGACATAATAAATTAAAAGAAAACAAATCATATCAGAGATAGAAATACAATTTTCATGGAGCATATAGAGACTATAGAACAGTAGCAGAGATAGAAATACAATTGTCATGGAGCATATAGAGACTATAGAACAAAAAGTTGACTAAAGTACTTATCCAAGTCTTTAATTATTACAACTAAAATCCATGCTAAACAAATGCAAAGAGAATGCAATTTATCTGCCCATAAACTTCTCTATCTTGCTGAAAAGTTTGATGTAATCATCCAAAAGAGGTTTTTTGTTCTTATAGAAGTGTCATTGTCTTTTGTAAAATAAATGACAATCCCAAAGATGTTATTTACATGGAAGAAATTTTACCTGGAGCAGTTTATACAGTCTACAATCCCACCAAAGGATTTATCATCATTCTCAAAGAAATACTGAGTTTGCTCAGTGATGCAGCTTGTTTTAGGCAGGGCAGCACCAAAATCATCATCTTCCATATCAGCTGATGGAAAGAAAACAAATATATAAATAAATAAAGATATTTTGAAGTCACAGACAGAATGGGGACACCCAGATTTGGCCCCCAGCCTAGATTCTTACCTTCTACTTCACTCAAAGTTGACTCTTTAACATTCTCTTGACTTACCTGCTTCAAGGAACCGTGGAAAAGTCAAGCTCAAAAACAGCTGCTGTAAGATAGACCTGAACACAAAAAGACAATATATCATTGTTAAAGGTTTTTTGTCTTTGTATTTTACTGGATACTTATAAAGTACTTAAATAAGAGTTACTAACAACAGAAGTTCTTTTTTTATGCTTTTGCCACTTATTAAATCTGTGTTTCTTTGAATCTTACAGTTTGACTGTGGTTTTCTTTTCACACATTCTCACAAATCTTTCACACTCATCTTTTATTCTGCTGTTGGGATTTCTTATAACTTGTGCCCATAACTCACATGAAGGAAATGTTATCATGCCAACCACTCCTCCTTTCATCCCTCTGCAGGAGGTGGAAGAGGCATGTTGGCATTCCTCTGACACCTCAACCAACCAGAACTCCTTTTGAACACACTCAGGGAAAATACTTTACACTGATTAAGCTGAACACTGGAATATTATAAGTATATTATAAAAATCATCACTGTAACAGGTGACTTTTAAAATCTATTTTAATCTATTCCTGCTCTTGAGGTATGGACTCCATTTTATTCCTTGATGCTGTCAAAACACTTAGGCTTAAAGGTCTCCATCTATTTAAAATCATTTTTCTTCATTGATGATGGTATTTTTCCAATTTTGTTTACTTGAAGCAAGTGCCAGCTTGCCACATACACAGCCTCCTTCTCCTCTACCAGTCTGGCAAAGCAGGAACTGCAATAGATATATTCCTTGACTCTCTGCTTTGGCTTAAACCTTCCTAAGCTATATTTTCCTGTTGTCATGGCTTAGATTTGCTTCTACCCAGAAATCTCATCTCATTCTGTTCTGTGCTGGCTTGGGCTGAAGGAGAGTTAACTTTCATCACAGTGACTAGTATGGGGCTATGTTTGGGTTTTGTGCAGAACACAGAGTTGATAATGCAGAGATGTTCTGTTGTTGCTGAGCAGAGCTTACACAGAGCCAAGGCCTTTGGTGCTTTCCACACTGCCACAAGGCAAGGGAGTTGGGGATGCATGGGAGATTGGGAGGAGACACAGCTGGGACAGGTGACCCAAACTGACCAAAGGGATATTCCACACCATAGCACATCATGCTCAGTATATAAGGTGGGAGGAAACAGGAGGAAGGAGGAACATCTGGAGTGATGATGTTTGTCTTCCCAAGGAACTGTTATACATGATGGTCCCTGCTCTCCTGGAGGTGCTGAACACCTCCTGCCCATGGGAAGCAGTGCATTAATTCCTTGTTTTGCTTTGCCTGTGTGTGCAGCTTTTGCTTTATCTATTAAACTGTCTTTATCTCAATCCATGAGTTTTTCTAGCTTTTTACCTTTCCCCTATCCCATTGGTGGGGCAGTGTGTGATCAGCTACATGGGGTTTGGTTGCTGCTGGGGTTAAACCACAACATTTTCTAACACTCATTCTGCCAAGAGAAGGGACAGTTTAACTTCATTCAACCTCCAAGGCTGGTTTTTTTTTTTTCCTTTTCTCCTTATCCTGTGTGATCCCTGTGTAAAGAAATCTTTCCCACAGAGGCATTGTGTGTGAACCATCAAAGGGACAGCACACCAGCAGTCAGGGATCAGAGGAGACCTGATGCCACTCTACAGTGATGCAATTTGCTGCCATAAAATAGTAATCCTTTGTAAGGGCTTACCACATAACTTACAGGGAGCTGAGTGGAAAAGGCAGCCTGGGAAAACTGTTAAATCTTCTGATTTAAAGGAGCATGAAGGAGGAATTATACAGACTCTCTTAACTAAATGCTAATGTATCCCATATAAGTTTTGAAAATGATCTCTCACACCTTTATCCCACATTGTTGCCTGAAACACTATAGGTTTTTTTAATAATCTGGTTTCTCTTATTTCCCTGTATTAGCTTTTGCCAGGTGTCTCCTTGAATCCATTTTTGGTCAGGTCTTTTCACTCTGTTTGCTTGATGGCCTTCTCTGCCTGCTTCTGACCTAGATTCCATTAAAAACATAGCCACAGTAAGTACTTTAATGTTGTGCTTTCAAGTTAAACATCACACAAAATAAACCTCAGGTCTAAATTGAGTCCAGACCACTGAGTCTGATTTGAACACTGATAAACTGAAGTTTCTCTGTTTGAAAAGAGCTCAAGTTTCTCTTCTGGATTATTGCCCATCTTCTGTTTTTGAGGTTTGCTGTTGTCCCAGAAAACTGAGATTTTTGCTCTTGCTGTTAACAAAATGTAACCAACAATAAAAAACAACGTACAATCTTCATAGTGCTTCCGTGAGAAAACTGCTATATGTTTTCTCAGCTGCTATGTGTTTTTACTCTTAGATTCATAAACTAGGTAATTTATTCCAGCTTGATAATTATTGTAAAAAAAATAAGAATCATGAAATTTTAGGAAAAGAAACAGTGTCCAAGGGTATAATTCACACCAATGCAAAAGTATCACACTAATCCAAATTACTTATCCTAATGTGGTGCTGAAGGAAGTAGCTGATAGAGGTGTCAATCTATGTGGCTCTGAAACAGGTAACATATCCCACCTGAGTCCTGTGTCCAGCTCTGGATCCCTCAGCACAGGAAAAACATGGACCTGTTGAAGTGGGTCCAGAGGAGGACCACAAAAATGATCAAAGGGATGGAAGACTTTTCCCATAAGGAAAGGCTGAGAGAGTTGGGATTCATTCTGGATAAGAGGAGGCTCCAGGGAGACCTTACTGTGGCCTTTCAGTACTTAAAGAATGGTTTTAAGAATGATGAGGACAAAGTTTCACAGAGCCTTTTGTGATAGGACAAGGCATGATGGTTTTAAAGTAAAAGGGGGTAGATATCAGCCTAGATATAAGGAAGAAACCTTTTACAATGAGAGTGGTAAAACACTGACATAAGCTGCCCAGAGAGGTGGTAGATGTCCTATCCCTGGAAACATTCAAGGTCAGGCTGGTTGGGGCTCTGAGCAACATGGTCTAGTTGGAAGATATTCCCACTGATTGTAGAGGAAGTTGGGCTAGATGACCTTTAAAGATCCCTTCCAACCCAAGTGATTCCATGCTTCTATGATTCATGTGTTTTGTAAAATGAGTCACTGAAAAGCAAACATTGATTTTCTTAAGAGTTCTTGCTAGAAAAAAGGAAAGATAATATTTCTGAAAACGGAACCAAGTGATCATTTCTAATTGTAATCATTTTGACTGAACTTTCCCAACTGCCAATCCTACTTATCCAAACTCTCCTTCCTGAAGCTGATTTTGCAGAGTCAAAACCATCAGAAAACCTGACAAGAACAGGTCGGAATTCAACTGTTGACAGAACAGTCATGTTTGGAGACATAGCTAAGAATATTCACAATGAGAAACTGCAGAAACAAAGGGCACTTTTATGGAGGGAAAAACCCAAGCCAAATATGATTTCAACCCACAGAATAATTATAGTTTGGACATAGAGATTTCCTACCCACTTGTACTTACCAGGCAGCTGCTGAAGCCCACCATCCTAGCTGCAAAATATCTGTTATCGTAGGCTGGGAAGAAAACAGCAAAGATTATGCTATTTGTATAAACACCCACAGACTTTTGATGGTATGTCAACCACTGCACATGGGACTACTGACCACATAGGCAGAACGAAGTCCAGCTCCTTGCTTTGGTTCTTCTTCAGGATCACATACTGATTGATAGTCATATGACTTGTTAAAGGCATACAAGGACATGTTAATCAGGTTTCTCATCAGGCCAGGATCAATTTCACCAAAGAATCTTCCAATCTGATGAGGGAGAATATACAGAGGTAAGGTAAAGTATTTCCAAGTATTTTCCTCATAGCAAAGTGAACAGTTCTAAATTCCCCAGTTAGACAGTGGTGGTTAAGTGCAGTAACAGTGAGACCCAGCCTGGGGAAGAGCAAGAGGAATATGAGAAAGAAGGTATGTGGGTGCTATACTACTTGCCCCCACCATTATAAGTCCATTAGAAACCTAACAGCCTAAGGGAAGAGCACAAAGAATGCCATACTACTTGCCCCCACCATCATAAGTCCATTAGAAACCTATCAGCCTAAGGGAAGAGCACAAAGAATGCAACTTGGGAGAAGTTTGGCATCTTCAACCCTAAATAAGACTGTAAAAAAGACTAAAAAAACCCCTGGAATTCCTGATCCAGCAATATTTGCTTGATTCACAAATGTTATTACCAGGGTAAACTGAGAGTGAAATGATGGGTTTTTCCTCTTAAAAGTCCTTCCTATTGGTTTCCATGTTCTGGCCTTAAAAAATAGACATACCTGTTGTGTATATTCATCCCGATTTGACATCAAAAGGAATCCACCGTCGTCGAGGATAACACAGTCCACATGCTATTGTAAGAAAGTGAAATATGTTTTGCAGGAAAGATTTGTCAATACAAACACGCTGTAAGAAACTCTTTTTTTCTTCAGCACATCAGAAGTATCTTCAAATCTATGTGGCTCAGGCGAAATCACAACCCCATAGCCAAGGGCCAATTTTAAGTTATAATAAATAGCATTATCAGTATTATAAAAGTTTGAAGAAGATCAAAGGCTTATTTGTGGCTTAATTTCATAAAAGTTGTTTTGTAAATTCTTCTTTGCTCAATATTCTGTTAGCTCCAAGAGTGCTATATCCTTATTAAGTCTGATTATAATTGAAACTCAGCTCATAATAAGGGACTACAACTTCTCATGAGCTTTAGCCATGCTTGAAGTCCTTTTCCACTTGCAGATTTCAACGGTAAAAATCTTAAGGGCAGACTCTCAGCTTGCTAGGCATGATTATTTTCACTTGCCAAGGACTGTAGTGGGATTCCAGCAGGTGTCAGGTGCAGGAATGGGAAGCCAACTGGTTCTCTATGCTTTGCACTTTATAAAAGTTCCTTGCAGCCAGAGAGATTGGAGAGATAGCAATAAGGTCAAATAGATAACCTCCCAGAGTACCCTTTGAGCTGTAATTCTTGCATTTAATGGTCTTCACACCCCACAAAGGAGCTCAGAAGACCTGAGGAAAGCTTTTAAGCACATGGCAGAACCTGATATGGTGACAGCCCATGAAGCTGTTCTCTCTAGAGTGCCAGCAGAGCTATGGGTCCTCTAATCCTGAATGTGTTGGGAACCAAGAGAGCAGGATGACTAATGTCTGCTGAAGGACACATCACGTACTCTGGTGCTTCTCAGTTTGCATTTATTGTTCCTTCTCTGAGGTATTTCTAGCACTCTTTTTTTTCCAGATATTTTTCTTTCCTCAGGATTTGTCTCTTGCTTTGAAAAGTACTGTTATATTTTTTTCTCACATTTTTCTTAACATCATTCTCTATTACTTTTCCTGTACTGTTTCTTTACACTTGTTCTCATAACCTTATTACAATGATTCTTGCAATAACCACTTCATCTGACATTTATGCTCTTTTACTCCTTTCTCTCCTAAACTTCAGCTTGCTCGAGACACAAATGACTAAGCTCCATTTTCTGCAAAATTAACCTTGAAATAATAATAGTAGAGTCACTGTCTATGATATATCAAGAGAGAATGAGTGAATTCTCATAATCTGTCAGATATTCATAGCTGAACATATTCTTACCATGCTATTTTTCTCACAGCCACAGATTTCACTGTTGCACTGAAAAACAGAAGTAGGAAATCTTCACAAGAATGCTACAAATAAAACTCTTTTGCAGTTAATCAATCAAGACCAAAACAAGGGATGCATTTTTCAATATCTATATATTAATTTAGATTAATTTTGAGTGTGTATTATTTGTCACAAATATATCTCTGAACAACCTCTGTTCAGTAATTATCAACAGCACAATCTTTCCTGCTTTTCCCAAAGACCCTGATGCAGCTTCTGTCACAGGTATGTGCAATACATTAGAGATAAATAGTCTGGAGGACTTGTCAGGATGTCAGTGTCGTGAGCATAAATTGAAAGAGAAAGAACTGCTGCATTTCCACATGTTCGTGGTATGGAAAGAAAGTCTTCAAAAGTATCTCTTTTGCCGATGAAAACCTTCACCAACCTCAAAGCATGGAACTCTAATGTGATCAAGGAGGCACATCAGCCAACTTAGCTTTTATGGCTTTGATTCCTAAGAGGTTTTTCCCACGTTCTTGCAATATGTGTACACATAGACACATCACTCTGTCCTTGTATTATGTCCTGACCAAAACAGCTATCACATAATGTCCCAGTCATCAATCTCTTATTAATTCTGAAATAATCCCCTTTCTTTCTCTTTTTTACCCATGTATTTTTGTTCTTAACTGTTCTGATATTTAGGCACTGCATTTGCTTACCCATTTGCTCCAATACTTATGACAGGCAGACCTTCAAGATCATCGAATCCAACCCTACTGTGGTCACTAGCCCATGGCACTAAGTGCCACATCCAGTCTCAGCTTGAAAACCTCCAGGGATGGGGAATCCACCACCTCCCTGGGCAGCACATTCCAGTGTCTGAGCACTCTCTCTGGAAAAAATCTCTTCCTAAGATCCAACCTAACCCTCCCCTGGCAGAGCTTGAGTCTGTGCCCTCTGGTCCTGCTGCTGGTTGCCTGGGAGAAGAGACCAACCCCCACCTGACTCCAACCTCCTGTCAGGGAGTTGCAGAGGGTGAGAAGGTCTCCCCTGAGCCTCCTCTTCTCCAGGCTCAACACCCCCAGCTCCCTCAGCCTCTCCTCATGCCACTTGTGCTCCAGTCCCTTCACCAGCCTCGTTGCTCTTCTATGGAATGAAAAGGTTAAGCACCTATTTCATTAAGTCCTGCTAAAATGCTGTGATGTTGGCTGCAATATAACTCCTTACTGCTCATTGCTTACCCATCTGCCATATCAAATAAGATTGATTCACCAATTCTTTTGCAGATTTTACAGCATAATCTTAGCAGGGAGCCTACTGGCTCGAATCTGTCATTTGTCTTTATCCATGTTTTATAATTATGAAAGCAAGACATGTACAAAATACAGCCTATTTCAACATAGATTTATTTTGTGCATTTGGATGATTTAAATACCACAACTACTTGGCAACTACGCATCAGTGTGACTCTGGTACAAAGAGCTAGTGGACCTATTTGCATCTGAAGCTTTGAGAAATGCAAATAAAGTTCAAAAAAAGCCTTGGTCAATTACTTACCAGACTCTTGATTGTGGTTTTTGTGAAATTTTCCATCCAGCTGGTTGCATCAATTTTTATTCCAACAACTAAAAAGAAATACATGAAAGTCTTTTTTAGTAAAATGAAAAATAAAGATAAGGTAACTGTAGAATCCTGAAAAAGAAGGTAAAATTATAATAACATCTAAATCTTTGAACTGGAAAAGGATAAAATATGGTTTTTGCTCAGCTGTCTGATCACCAACATCCTTCATGAGCCTAATAAATTAAGCACTCTTACACAAACACAACCAGATCTTTGGCTTGATTTCCACCAGCAAGATTAAAACTGTCTCACAGAAAAGAATGTTATTATAAAGCAAAGTTCCTTTGAAATCTCAATTAAATTTCTGATTCACTGTTGAGCAACAACCAAATAACTGGAGTATTTAAGAGTTTCAGCACCACTCTACCTTACCTGCTGGCTTCAGATGCTTCCCATCAATTTTTATTTCCACAGCCTTGCTTACCATGATACCTGACTCGTAGCTATTGGCACCACTTTCTGACAGTATAGAAGGGGGGAAAAAAAAAAAAAGAAAGAAATTAGGGTGATATAAAAGCCTCTTCCTCTGAAACCTTTCTGAATTATTATTCAAATACCCAGAAAAATCCATATCCAAAAGCACTGACCCAAATGTAGTACACATTTATCACCTGTGATAGCTCAGATCACTAACACTTGCATGACTAAGTATAATACTTGTGTTTACTTTTCTTCATTAACTTTTTGGGCACTCTTTTCTTCATAAAGTCACTGTAGCCTTTTTTCCTTCTACAAGCAGAGCCATGAAGAGTTTTACACATCTGAGCAACTCTGTTAAAACCAGGATCAGAGCCAAAGATTTTATCCTGCTGTTGTCCATGTCTTTTTCAATGCAGGGTAGAGTGACACCACTCACTAACCAACAATTACTGCTCTGACAGAATTCAGCCTGTTTCAACACTGCTTAGTATGGAAAGGCAAGTTAAAAGTACATTCCCTGAAGCTTTTTGAGCACCAACAAAGGCTTCAGGGAATATATTACCTTCTTTACATTTTCTTGAGAAAAAATTGCAATAGCTAAGTATGAAATAACAGCAATAAAAGATCCCATATGCTTAAGAGAGGAGTATTTCATTTGTGGGAGCATCTGCTTTTAGCCAAGCTTGGGAAGGTTAATGCTGCTTACATCAGTCACAAGCACTTCCTATGGTGGATATATAGGTTTTAAATGTCCAATTATTTAAGACAAACTGGTTTTGGTGAATAAGAGCAACTGGAAATAGAGTTCAAAAGGAAAGTTTAAATGAAGTAGTGGGTGGAGCTGTGGACTTTGGACCTTTATACCTGCTCCTCCAAGTCAGGCTTGGTGTTGAGGCAGTAGACAGAACTCAACTCAAATAAGATGTTTTAAGTAGTGTTATTGTCTCCAAGTGCAATTTTATTTCACTTCATTTTAAAATAGTTCTGCCAAACTGTAAAACAGTGTTTCAATATGACAGATGAACACCAGTTTTCACCTTTGTTAATTCTGAGCACACAGCACCACTACAAAACAGTGTTTCAGTATGACAGATGAACACCAGTACTCGTTTTCACCTCTGTTAATTCTGAGCACACAGCACCACTAGAGCCAATGACAAATTACAATGACCCTTGTTTAGTGCCCTCCTATTTTTTCCTTAATAATGGTTAGCATCCCAAGATTTCTTTCCTAATGAAGTGTCCCAATTACATCTTTTGTCAATGACCTCAACTGATATGGGAAACTCCCACATCTCTTGGACTAGCTCTCTCTGACATTTCAAGTTTGTGATGACTTACTGTTGTAGTAGGGAGCTGTGAAGATATAGTTGTCATTATCTAAACTCCTTTTGTAGAAACTCACTTCATAAGTTTCAGCGTTTTCCAACCAATCTTCTCCTGCCCTAAATGCAATGAAAATAGGGATTAAAACAACACCAAAAAAAAAAAAGAGTTAGAGTGCCATTAATGCTGTGCTGCAGGTTGTTTTCTTTTAGTGTTTCACAGTTGGGAAGAATGTGATATCCATTCTTATAGTCCTCAGACTGTGACAGTTTTCACTGCTTAACTGGCAGGAGTAATTACTGAAAACAGTACTTTGGAAAACAAAATAGTACTCTTGAAATAACACAGATCTTGTCTCAACACTTTTAGGTGCACTGAGACAAATGTAACTGCAACACAACTTACAACAAAATCAAAACAAACTACAGCACATGCTACCTCTTGAGCTAAATCCTGAAAGAATTAATATCATTAACAGCACCAAAATGGGATTTACTTGGGGAGTAAATTCCATTGCCATTTTCACATTTTCAAAACACAGAATACCCTAAGAAAATAGATAAATTTGCCATTTATCAATATACCTACACTGGTGCCCTCACTATTCCCAGTCACTCATAGGGGTGTCTAGTCTATTATGTGTCCAATTTCACAATGACATTTTCTCCTCTGGTAATGATACATTTTCCTTTCTTGAAGTCCCTGGACTATTTGTTCTGATTTAAGTCTAAGAAGTAAAAAAACATCACCTACTACTTTCCAGTATTTGCAGCCTGCCAAACAACTGAGTGCTTGGAAATAATTAGGGATTAGCATAGTCCCAATGCTACTACAAGGGCATTGCTTTTACTCCTACTCTACACTGATTAGAAACTTGGCTTACAAGGACCTGTCATGAAAATAATGTTACAGAACAGTTTCAAGCAGTGACACAAGTAAAATCAAGTGGCCAATGCTGCTCCTGCACTTTGGCCATACCA